CGGAAACCCTAAAAATGCAAGTTTCGTGATCCAAAAACACCAAATTTTTCAACCATTTAATCCGTGTAAAAGCTGTTTACAGCCTGCAAATTAGATTACATGCCAAAAAAAATAAAAAAAATGATAAAAAATGACAAATTTCGAAGAATCCCGTGAAGAACACTGTGCAACCCGTGTTCTTCACGGGACTCGCCGATTTCGTACAGTGAATCGGCGAGTCACTGTGCAGAATCGTCCGGTTCTCTCTAGAACCGGACGAATCCCGATTTTTTTAGCAGTTCGATCCCCCCACGACGATTCCCGAGTCGAACCGGGCGAGTCCAGTTCGACTCGGTGTTTTTTTAAACACTGCTTCAAACTATTAAGGTATTTTCTATACGTAACTACTAATTGAATTTGTAACGGCATTTTGATTCCCGTGAAGATCCAAAATGCATTATGGTATAAAGACTACCGTAAATAGTATTTTCATCCAAAAAATGTCGAAAATTGGGAAAAACGATCTGAGTGAGGTTTTGGGAAGTTGGCTTTTTTTTTTTTTTTTTTTTCAATTTCATTAAAATTTAAGTATATTAACGATAATTTCCCTAAAAAAAAATAAAAATAAAAATAAAATAATCAAAAGCGTTAGAACTAGATTGAACTCATTTGTTCTAAATAGATGGAGAAGTATATATTTTGGGGTGAGCCACGAACTCCTAGAAATTTTGTTTTGAAACTTTGTATTTAATCATTAACACTTTTCAACTATTACTTTTTAAATATAAAGGACAATAATGATGGTGACTACTTTATACGAAAGATAAATAGTTTATAGGTAGACAATCACTGTATCTACGGTTGGGGAAGTACATCAACTTTTAAAAAAATTTTAAAAATATTCAGAGGCAAAATCATATAATATTTCATCCCGTTATGAATATGCTATGTTCGATGCGGGCTTTAAAAACCACCGCATATCGTGAAAGCAATGGTACAAAAAAATGTCGTCACATGATGGATCTGCTGCGGTTCTTTAATCCACGCCAATAAAAAAATGAGACGGCGCCCGTCTGCGGGTGAAAACACTGATCATTTTCAACGTAGGCGTTGCTGAGTGCTTCCTTCCCAACACGTAACCTGAAAATTATAAGGGGAAAAATCTATCGGGTAGGACTGAAACGTGAATTTACATTTATCGGGGTCAAAAATCTAACGCATCTTCCTCCTCAGCCTGGAGAGGTTTTAGACGGTTTGGGCTTCACCATTAGCCTAGTAGTCGGTCGCCTTCTTGCCGCTCGTCTTCCGTCACACTACCAGGTACACTCTCTCTCTACTACCGCATACTTTCTTGCCGATGCTTGTTTTCATTGTTGGCAATCTCTCTCTCTGTCTCTATTAGGATTCACCTCTTTACTTTTGTGCCTGATAGGGTTTTCATTTTCTTTTGTGCTTTTCAAAACCTATCAAAAGCTATTGAGTTCATGGGTGAAAAAGCAAAACGTTTCCCTCTCGCTCTAGTACTGGATCCAGGGTCGACTTATTCCTGATTTAATATTTATTGTTGGGATACTTCATAATGTTATTTTTTTCGACAGGTCTCTCTGAGAGGTATTATCGATGTTCTCAAAAAAAAAAAAAAATCTTAAAACTGTGATTAGGCTTTATTACACAGGATGGGCGTAGTTTTATGTTTTTCCCTTATTAATTTTTAGGTTGGATTTTTATTTCATTCGTAGTGTTTATGAATCATCGACTTGTTGCAATTTTTAATTGGTATTTTGATGGTTCTGAACCATTGTCTTTTGGGATTGTTTTTTGGAATTCACACCTGTAGCTAAACTGGTAGGTCCTTTTGGTTGAAACCTTGAGCTTGTAGATTTGAGCCCTACCCAAAAAGAATTCAGAGATTTTCACGAAATCCCCATTTTCGCCGTTTGGGTATGCAATGCATAGGTATATGAGATAGAAATACACTACCGTGTAATGCCCTCAAAATCATGAAATCCATTTTTCACCATGATTGGTGCAAAATGGATTACTGGGCATATCTGCTTTGTAGGAGCTTGAGGTCCGTTTAAAAGGACCAAGACCCAGCAAAACCCTACCCCTCTCTCTCTCTACTGTCTCCCAGCTTGTGCCAACCCATCTCTCTCACCTTCTTTGTTCCAGGTACCTCTTTCTCTACTATTATGCCTCTCTCTCCTGTTGGGTTTCAATGGCGAATATTCTAGGGTTTGTTATCCGCATTGCTTGACACATCTGAGTTTTTGGATTGTATTACAATCTTCTTTCATGGATTCATCCATGTATATTTAGTTATGATTTACAGTGAGTTGAATAGTATTACTATCTTTTGTAATTATTTACAGTGATTTAATCATATATTGCTGTGTTTTTCTAAGTGAATTAAAGGAAGTTTTCTTAGTGGTTTAGTGGTGGTTTTCCGAAATGGCATGCCATATAAATTTTTGTTTTTGTAATACTCAAAAACATGCTTATCCCATGCATGGTTCACCATTTGCAAACTGCGATTTTAATGGTGGCGTACCAGAGAGATAATTTATCTGGTAAATTGAGGAGATAATATTATCAGGGACTTGCATGCTCATCTCATTTTTCATTGGAATGTTATGCTTTCTGATATGCCTATCACATTTTCTATTCAAAGTTCAACATCGGGGCTGTGCGATAATGCTAATGCATCTTTCGAAAATGTTTTTTCTTAATTCATGCTGAGGATTCACATAGGAGAATCATGCATTGGTTTTCAGTTGATTATCCACGGAAAATTGTCACCAAATCAAACACATTGTTGAATGAGATCATTATGATTGAATTGGAACAACTAACATCATGATAATCACACTGATATGAGCAATTTTTTTTGTTGATTATGCTGCAGAAAATTGCAGCAGTGTTTTCTTGTAAATTTGATCATAAGTTTAAGTATGCCTCAATCTAGTGATACATGATCATGTAATTAAATGATTAATTTAATAATTAATTATCAGTTTGAAGTTTGTTAGATCAAGAGAAAGCTGATCTATAACAGTTGATCACGCTACCGTAATTATATAGGTAGACTATGAATTTCTCTGAAATGTTTCTTCCTGACGTAGCCAAACAGTAGCAATGTGCTGCCCAAACAGCAAAAGCCCATTTTCAGGAAATGTATTGCACCAGTAATGTATTTCATAGGACTATATATTTCCATGTACCGAAACAGCCCCTTAGTCTCTTAACTTTAATGGAGAAATCCCCAATTTCTCTTCTCCTTCTACTTGCCCTCTCCTCCACAAATAGGGAAGCACCTCTCCCCCTCCCCCCACCCAACCCCCGCCCCTCAACCCTCTCTCTCAGTCTCTCTTTGGGAATTGGGAATTAAGATCCCGATTTTCTTATCTTTTCTTCTTCCTACAGGGGTACCCACTAAACCAAAGTAAACGAAGCCAAGAGCAACCAGCCATGGGTTTCATGATTGGTCATGTCCCCTCGAACCCCGATGGGTGGGGTCCCCCCGAGGGCCCCGCTGTACTTGAGAACCAGCTCCAAAATGTGCCCTATGCCCCCTTCTCCAAGTCTGAGAAGCTTGGCCGCATTGCTGACTGGAGCCGCAACTATACCATGCGCCCCTCTGCCCGTGACTCCTCCACCGTCTTCGACTTCTCCCTCGATGATGCCGATGAGGAATCCTTTCGCCTTGTGGATGGGAAGCCCCCACCACGGCCCAAGTTTGGACCCAAGTGGCGATTTCATCAAAATCCTCACCGCCTCCTCCCTCAGCGTAAAGACGAGGAGGTTGAGGCCAAAAGGCGTGAGGCTGAGAAGCAGAGACTTAGAAGAGATCGACTTTTCAATCAAAATCGTGCTAATGCTCAGAAGAGGGAGGCGGCGGCATTCAAGAGCTCAGTGGATATCCAGCCGGAGTGGATGATGCTTGATCAGATACCATTCTCCACCTTCTCGAAGCTCTCTTTCTCAGTGCCGGACCCCCCAGAGGACTTATTGACAAGCGGAGCGCTTGAGTTTTATGACCGGTCGTATGATCGCATCAACCCGAAGAATGAGCGTCGCCTTGAGCGGTTCAAGACCCGCAACTTCTTCAAGGTTTGTGTTGTTGGGATTTTGTTTTGTTTTTTTGTTTAACTTGTATGTATGTTTTGGTTGTTGGTCTATGATCTATTTTTTATCATGGTTATTTTGCAAATTAATATGTCACAATGTTTCTAATTGTAATTTGCAACAATATTAAGTGAGAGAGCCATGATACGATTCCTGGTAGCATGTATAATCTTAGAATCACAATCTTTCTCTCACTAATATAATTTAGGATGCCATTTTGGAATGCATTTTGCTGGGCTTCTGAAACTTTATTCGAAAAAGAGATCATTTTCTATTGATATGCATTCCTTCTTCTTTTTTTCTCTTAGCCATTGGCTACGAGCCTGGCTTTGAATTTGTCTGTAGTCTTTCCTGCTTTACCAGGATGATCTTTTTCCAAAATACATGTCTTCTTTTGGTGGGTCAATTGACTGGCAATCTCATGTTTTCATGATGAAACATATGTGACCAATCATCGTTGACTGCATTCCAATATTTGATTGATGTTTTGTCTTCATTATAGCTAAAATGCGCCATTGAGACGTCACTTGTACTTGCAGAATTTTTTTTTAATATGTTTACTCTAATACTTGCGGAATATTCACTAAGAGGAAATTCATGGAGCTTGAATGTCATATCTGGGTAACATAATTTCAGATTTGGAATTTCATACGATCATTAGGATTGGTACATGTACTGTTTCCTTATACCTTCTTTGGAATGATTTATTCCCTAAGTAAAAGTTTGTACAGGGAGGAATGTATATACAATACTGATGCTGTATATTGTCATGATTCTTAACAATATGCTGTGATGGAAACCGATGTCAGCATTTGTATCTACAGCCATTGTTTTAAAATGCGGCCGCTACATGCAGTATGCTCCAAGAGGTGCATTGCAAAACAGTGCATATGCTCTTTGGTAGGATGTGCCCGCATATGCGCCGCATCCCACCTCATATGCTACCGCATAGCTCATTGTACCACATATGCGGCCGCATAGTTCATCGCATTGCATATGCGGTCGCATAGTGCATCACACTGCATATGCGGCCGATCGACGTGGTGAAAAAAAAAAAAAACCTCTCGAAAAGGGTATTTACATAATTTTTCCCCTCTAAAAAGGGGGGGATAGGGTTTAGGGGGTATTAAACCCCCAAAACAACAAAAACGGCCACTTTCACTGTTTTGTTTGCATCAAAATGATAAAAAGAAAATGGCCGAAATGTTTTTTGAAAAACATTTCAATTTCGTATTGGTGGATCTTTGCTTGTTGATTGGGATTAGTTTGGGTGCTGATTTGAGGAAGTTTAAGTGAAGATTCGGCAACATATCGAGGGTTTCAATGGTCAAGAAGATATCAATAATTTCATCAAATAATCGGTATTATTTTTTTGGGGCAATGTCTTCTTCATAGTCTTCTAGTAACAAGGATCCCGCTTGGAAATTTGCAAAACTCAAAAATCCGAAAGACCGAAATTGTGTTGTTTGTGGTTATGGTTTTTGATTGTTTATGAATTATGATAATATGATGTCTTCTAAGTTCTATTGTCTTCTATAAAGTTAGTTTCTAGTTTCTATTTTTTAATGTCTTCTATGATCTATCAAGGGATAGTGGATACAAAATCTCTGACAGCTATACTATTGGAGTTAATGGATAAATTAAATACCCACTATCACATAAATCGCCTCCATATTTTTTTCATGCATTAACCTATTTTTTTGAGATTTTTTCATATTTATTGACTACATCGGGGTGATGCACCCGCATGTGGACCGCATCCCCCCTCCCTCGATTGCATCGGGACTGCATCCCGCATTTTAAAACATTGTCTACAGCTAGAATTGTGGTGTAGGCTGAACTAGTCCTATTTATTCACTGAAGTAAATTGTAAACGGAAGGGATCGTGATTAAGTTATGAAATTCAAATTATTAGTTATGTACCCGATACGATACTTCATTACTTAGGAATGATTGAGTATGCTAATTTTTAATCCTTAAAGGTACTAGGTGCTCTGTTACTTTGGGTAAAGGTGAGTTTGCAGTGGGGGATACAGGTATATGGATAGCATTTGCCTCTTTGGAAATCAGCCATGACCTCTGCAATGTTTGTCAAGTTTGAAACGATGTCATGTTCACATTATTCTGGCACAGAAGTAACTGGATATCCATTCACTGATTTTCCCATGCTTGTGCACAAATGTCTAAGCATGTGTGTGTGAGCAATTTATTTGTTTACCCTTTGTGCTTGCAGCATTAGGTAATTTGTCTTTATATGCATCTGGTTGAGGTGGCACGTGGGTGGCCCCTTGGCCTAAAAGAATACAGGTTTTCCAGCCTTGAGAAATTCAAGCTTGGAGGCCGAGTCGGGAACTGCCATAATCGAGTCTACTCATCCAGTTAAACAGTAAACTTAGAAAATCTCATCGTGTTTTCAGAATTTTGTAGAAAGTTAAAAGCAAAAAAGAATTACAATTTTCTGCTGTAGGATTTGAACCTAGATTGCTACCATATCAAATCACACTCTACCACTTCCCTAGATACCATTTTATGTATCAAAACATCATGAAAAAAGTATATATACAGCCAAAAACTCGAGAACATCCAATTTTTTTCATTTATAAACCTCAGCTATTGGGCAAGTCAAGTTTGAATCTGCAAAGTTTTCTGAGTTGAAACAAGTTTCTAAGCTCTGCTTTTCCATTGTCCTTTGGATTATATTGCACCTTTTAGTTTTTTCCTCAATTCAAGACTAAATTATATACCATAAAAAATGTGTTGCAGGTCACCACCACAGATGACCCTGTAATCCGCCGTCTCGCCAACGAGGACCGTGCAACAGTTTTTGCCACCGACGCCATCCTCGCCACTCTTATGTGTGCACCACGCTCCGTCTACTCATGGGACATCGTTGTGCAGCGCGTTGGCAACAAGCTCTTCTTTGACAAGCGTGACGGCTCCCAGCTTGACCTCCTCTCTGTCAACGAGACCTCCCAAGAGCCTCTGCCTGAGGCCAAGGACGACATCAACTCTGCCCACTCCCTGAGTGTTGAGGCCGCCTACATAAATCAGAACTTCTCCCAACAAGTTCTCATTCGTGATGGCAACAAGCTCACGTTCGAGGAGCCTAACCCATTTGCCTCTGAGGGAGATGAAGTTGCCTCTGTGGCATACCGTTACCGACGATGGAAGCTTGATGATGAGACCTCACTAATTGCCCGGTGCGAGGTCCACAGTGTCATCGATGCAAGGGGACAACACTCTTTTCTCACCCTCAATGCATTGAATGAATTTGACCCGAAGTACTCTGGGGTCGACTGGCGCCAAAAGCTCGAAACTCAAAAGGGGGCGGTGCTTGCTACTGAGCTCAAGAACAATGCCAACAAGCTTGCCAAGTGGACTGTTCAGGCTCTATTGGCTAGTGCTGATGTTATGAAGCTGGGATATGTCTCGAGGATCCATCCCCGTGACCACTTTAACCATGTGATATTGAGCGTGCAAGGCCACAAGCCGAGGGAGTTTGCATCTCAGATCAATTTGAACACATCAAACATGTGGGGTATTGTGAAATCAATTGTCGACTTGTGTATGAAGTTGAATGAGGGGAAGTATGTCTTGGTCAAGGACCCCTCAAAGCCACAAGTGAGGATTTACGAGGTCCCAGCAGATGCTTTTGAGAACGATTATGTGGAGGAGCCACTGCCTGAAGAGGAGCAGGTGCAGCCACCTACTGAAGAGGAAGCTGCTGACTCAGCTATGGCTACTGCTTCTGCTAGCAAGGTTGATGAAGAGAAGGATGTGGATGCTGATGTTTAAGGTTCTACTTTGGCTTTTTTATTTTTCTAGTTAGTGCTCTAGAGTTGTGGGTTTTAAGTTTTGAGTGGTGGATTATCAAACTTCCTTAAAATTTGTGTGAGGATGAAAACTTTTGTTTCTGGTATATGTAGCTTTTTTTCCCTGAGGATATCATGGGTGACTCTGCAGGCAGAGATTGATATGACAATGCTGGAGAGATTGATAGAGCTAGGGATTAAAACATTTTTTTGCAATTGCCGCCATGTTTGTTTTTCTATTGTGGGGTTTCAAATTTTGAATGTTGATGTTCTATACTTTGCTTATGGTGCTTTGAAATCTTGCCGTTTCTTCATCTTTCTATGGGTTTATTTTGAGCGTCTGTTGTATGTTCTCCATTGATATCTACTAGTCAACAATGAATTGCTTTTCTCTGAAATTGAGTTGGATGGATGAGAACCTATCCACATTGATGATGCCCTTGATGATCCCTGGACCCTGGTATATCTGATGTGCATGTTTTTTTTTTATATATATCAAGTAGCTGTATGAGTATACTGTATGGACTACTTTTTGAGGACGATGTTTACAATTTGAACATTAGTAGAAGGGAAGTTTAGGTCATTATTTATATCAAGTAGCTGTATGAGTATACTGTGTGGACTGCTTTTTGAGGACGATGTTTACAATTTGAACATTATTAGAAGGGAAGTTTAGGTCATTATTTTGCAGTATAGTTTTTTTTCTTTATTTATTTGGTAAAAATATGTCAGGCGCTGTAATTATCCATGTGAAGCCATTCATTCCGAAGAAGAAGAACTAAAATAACATGAAAGAGTGTTAAAGTTGGTACTATTATTTTATGTGCCCTGCACACGTCCACTTGATGATATTTTCTTCGATTGTTTAATAAATTATGGGACCAATGCAACTATTCATGTCTTGTCCATTCATTGATAAGTTTTTGCCCGTCTTGTCAGAAAATATAATAAAGGAATGGGTGAAACAGGGGCTATGAAAGTCTCCTTATAAATTAAGGTTCATGAAACGCCTTATTTTCAGGCGTGCTTTCATGGAAAGCCTTCATGCTAAAAGCTCAAGATAATGCTTGCTTTATACTTGTTTCCCATATATCGATTAGAATTAATGTGCATAAGGCAAATTTGATCTCCGGTACCTAAAACTAGACGGTTGATTTTTTATTTTTGTCACATGTCCAATGGGCTAGAACAACGAGATCTCTATGCCCCATAATTGCTTGAGTTTAGGAGAAAGACATTCCTCATAAGACAGATAAAACAGATAGAAGATATTGAAAGACATAAGATAGATATAAACATCAAACGGAAGACATGATGAAAGCAAGAACATATGAAGAAAGCAAGCAAGAAGCAAGAAAGCAAGCACACAAGAACTACAAGGCTGAGAGGCTCTAGAAGCACTCTGCCATTTACAAGGCCATATGAGGCTTTTTATAGACTCCGGACGTGAAAGCCGGATTTCAAACAAAATTAAAAGCAAATAACAAGGCCATGACAGCTGGCATCTGAAAACAGTAAAAGATGAACAGTAAAGAGCAAAAGTCTTTCTACAGTAACAGACAGGTGCGTCTGACAGAATAGTACTCCACAGTATCTGCCGACAAAATAGTGCTCCACAGTGTCTGCCGACAAAATAGTGCTCCACAGTGTCTGTCGACAAAATAGTGCTCCACAGTGTCTCAGTCTGTATTTGGAAACATGTCGTACGGATAACCGTCTGAGTCGTAGCTTCCTGTAGATGGGCTATGAGAAGGTCCACTGTATGAATCATCACTTGAGCTATCTGTTGGTGCATCTTCTGGGGGTGGATGGTCAGCAAGCCAATGGTAAAGTTAGTGAAGTAAAGCTGCTCCTCGAGGAGTTGTGTCATTCCATACTTCTTGTCCTGTATAAACATTCAGAGGAATAATGTCTGGAGAGACTCTGTTAATGTAACACATTGTAGCTTTGAGCTCGGACTAAATTTCTGAATTATTAGGCCAGAAATTAAGGAGATCAGAATCATACCATCTAATGGTTTCTATAATGGGATGTTGGGTGATATAGGTATAATCTGGATAAAGAAGAGGTTTGAGAGTTTGGTGGAAACTGATAACAACTTAAGGTTTCAGAAAGGGTCTGAAAGAATCCATCTAGTGAGTATAGTGGTAATATTTTAAGAGGAATCTATAAAAATTCATGGCTCTGGGATTATGGTGCATATAATTATTCTATTGAAGAAAATGGCAGTGTCTTAGGTAGGAAATGAGTTTTCTTACATGGAATATAAAACAAATATGGTGGTTTTGGGTTAAGTACCATAAGAGGCAGATTACTTCTTTAGGCATGTTATAATAATGCCTGGTTTCAAAAAGGCTAAGATAAGGGTAAGATGGATGGCATCGAATTCCATGCATGCAATCTCCATGATTTCTTAAGACTATTTCATGCATTTTTTGTTGCATATGGTCACTTCTAGAGGCTAGAGTTTTATCCAGAATCACTTCATATATCTTGCATCGGGGAGGTCATGATCTGTGTCATCAATTCTGATAATGGCTCCTGTGAAAGGAATGACTTGGAAATTTAATTTTTCTGAAAATTGATGTCTCGAAAACATATCTGCTAACACATTGTTTTTCCCTGAAATGTGTTTATATTCAAAATCCCATTGAGAGAACCAATTCGACCAACGTAGAAGTTGGGGATTTGGTAATATTTTGTTTTTAAACTTCAGCATATGTGGGAAAGCAAATAAGTCCATTTCAACCAGAAAATTGTAACCAATAAGGTGGAATTGGAAATTTTCTATTCCACGTTTTACAGCAAGAATTTCTTTAAAAGTGGAATGCTAGTGTAATTCAGACTGTTTAAATTTTCCACTTTTATAACCACAAATTCTCCTTGTTTTGTCAATTTCTTCAAGAAGAATGCAAGCCCAAAATTCATCCGAGGCATCTGTTTGCAAAATCTGTTTCCAGAAGAGGGTATTTTTAATGAAGGCAGATTTTTTGAAAGGGATTTTAGTGCGCGAACACTCTCAATTTGCTTGTAAGTCCATGGTGGTGCTTTCTTTTTTAACAGCAAATAAAGAGGGCTGGTATGGAGAGAATCTTGGAATAAAGGGTGACATATAGTTGACAATACCAAGAAATTGCTGTATTTGTTTACCAGAGGATAAGGTATCAAGAAATTCTGACAAGTGATTGGCAACATGAGGTTGAAGTTTGTACATCCCATTATGAAAATGCATTCCAAGGAAATCAATTTCAGTAGTAGCAAAGACACATTTTTTCTCAGAAAGCATAATGCCAAATTGACAACAGAGAGAGTGGAATTTGTTTAACAAATTGATATGGCTTTGCAAGTTTGGAGAGAATAAGAGAATGTCATCAACATATATCAGAGTTTGTGTTGAGATGGGTTCGAAAATGGTAGTTAAAACCTTTTGAAAATATGTTGGTGTATTTTTCAAACCAAAAGGCATGACAGTCCACTGAAAATGGTAATTTGGTAAACAAAAAGCTGTTTTGTGTCCGTCATCTGGATGTATCCCTATTTGCCAAAAACCAGATTTTAAATCAAACTTTGAAAATATATGTGCATGAGAAATTTGAGAAAATAATGCAGTTTGGTTGGGCAAAGGGAATTTATCATCAGCAAGAAAAGAGTTTAAGGGTTGGTAGTTGATTACCAATCTAAGTTTCCCTCTAACTTGTTCTGCTCTTTTATTTACATAAAAAGCTTCACAAGCCCATGGGGAGCTAGTTGGTTCAATTAATCCTTCCTTAACCAGTCATGTATTTCTTGCTTTGCCTGTTCTAACATTGCAGGATTAAGTCCTCTGTGAGAGGCTTTTGTGGGGTTTATGTCTTCATTCCTTTTGAATGGAAGTTTGACATAGAAGTTTTGGTTTCTTTACAAAGGATTTGTGCATTTTTTCAAGAATTTTGAATGAGAGGTAGCACAACATTCAGAAATAATTTTGTCTTTGACCTGTTCTAAGGTTAAAGGTTGATCTAGACTGGCTATCCATGGGAGTGTGAGGTTTCTATAGTGCAGTCCTTTGGAAGTCCAGTGCAATTTGACCTGGTGTAGTACATCAAATCCTATCAGGAGGTCTTTGTTGGGTAAAAATGATCCTAAGAGTCTATGTTGGATGACAACTTTTGGGAAAAGTTTTATGAGAATAGGTTTGCTGATCTGGGTGATGGGCAACTTTTCTCCATTGGCAACTCTGAAGGACTGGGTGCAGTTTTCCCAGAATTGTTTAGGTAGCAGATCCGGTTTTAATATGCTTGCAGATGCACCAGTGTCAAAAAAGGCAGGGAGGGTAAGCGGTTTGGAATAGTGTTCATGCCAGAGTTGAACCATGGCTATTGGGGTTGGTTGAGAGAGTGGATAGGAGTCAGCAGGTATTTGGTCAAGAGGTTCAGGGGGACAAAATACATCAGGTATGACTGAATTTGAGATTTCATTAAGCTCAGAGTCCACTGTATAGGAGATTGAGATCAAAGTCTCATCATTGTGTTCATCATCCAGCGAAAATACCGATTCCAAATCATCATTAACAGATTCGTCTAGTACATGTGAAAGAAGATGGATGAGCTTCTTCTTTTTCTATTGGTTGGGACAATTCTTTGCAAAATGTCCTTTTTGACCGCAAACATAACATCGGTCTCCTTTGGTTCGATGCTTTCGGAATTTGGATCGTCGAAGAAATTTATAAGTTTTGAATTTTTTCTTCTTCTTCTTGTGGTCCATGGTATGGCCATATTTCTGTTTTGCTTTTCTTCCAAGAGATGGACATGTACAATGCTTCTCAGTGTCACATTTAATCTTTAAATACGGCTTGTCACAGGATTTGCCAAGAAGATACTTGTTTTCCTCCATTTGCTTGACAAATTCTACTTGGTTACATAACCGTTCTAAAGCATGTAAAACAAACTGATAAATTTCTCCAAAACTAACAGTTTGAATTGTGAGTCCTTGGTTTTCCATTGTCTTGGTGGCTTCTTTGCCCAAAGTAGGAGGAATAGATTCTAAATAATATTGCTTGAGATTAACATCATCGATTCCTCCAATCTTATGGTATCTTTTGTTCATTTCCATAAAATGTTTTTCCAGATCATGCCGTTTGAAAGAACAACATTTAAGTTGGAAAAATTCTTCTCTTGCAGTAATTTGTTCATGTTTGACTGTTCCTGTGAATTCAGCAATGAGATAGCTGAAAAATTCAATGATGGACTGACTATTTCTTAATTGAGTTTGCCAGTATTCTCCAAGGTTGACATACCAGTCAAA